GTGTGTGTGTATATAATTGCCCTCTCTTGCGGAAATTATAGCGACGAATAATTACATCGCCATTAAATGCGACTAGCGCCAGTTTTATTGTTATGTAAACAAACAAGGACACGTCTTGCTGGCTTGTACCACTGGTGCTGGGCACGAAAGTGCTTAGAAATAATGAAAACATTTTTATAGCAAATTATTTCAAAATACATTGAGTCCTGCAATTGGAGGAAACACAAAATAAGTGGAAAAAGTGCATACACGTTGGTCAAGACCTCCTGAAAGTGAAGTATTTCAGTCCAATAAAGTCTCAGTTTGTAATAGTTAATCCGAATTCTGACCCCGGCATTAATGGTTTAATTTTGTTGATCCACAACTTTGTCCATTGAACCTCATTAAATTTCTGTCCTTACGTAGCAGAACATGAAGGAATGAATAATGATGTATTGTTCTCCCTTTGTTACCTGTTCCATGGTCATCGTCTTATTTTGTTATCTATTTGGAAAAATACGATCACATGTAACTTGTTGGTTAGAATAGGGCTTTTAAACTCTAAAAACTATCAACAAATGGTTTGAAATGAATATAAAAAGAAGTGAAATCATAACACACAAACTCAGCATAGCTTAGCACGAATCATCAACATTAAATAGCGTTGCGAATAGCGTTTGCGTATTTCTTATTTGCAAAGGGTAACGAAATGAAGATTTGCTCTTATAAATTAATGTATTTAAACTAAATATCAACAACTCTGAGACACGTTGAAACATTTTCGTTGAGTGTTGGGAGGCGTCCGGCTGATGCTGGTGTCGTCGTTGCACGCCAGCTGTGGTGGTGTGAGTTGTTGCTGCTGTACCTATTAAAGTTGTTGTTGCTGGCGTTTATGTTGTTCAATGTCTTGACCTCTCTCCTAAGAAACGACTGATTGATGCTGCTGTTTGAATTGTTGTTGATGCTATTTTTGAAGTCGATATTGTTAGTTCTAATGTTGTTGTTGTTGTTTTTAAAGTTGTTGTGAGCTGGCACGGATGACCAGACGTAAGGGAATTTGTCTGCCGACGCCATTGGACGAGGTCGTATATAGATTTTGTTGTGTTGCTGGTTGCTGATGTTTTGATTGGAGTTGTTTGAGTTATTCTTACTTGCGGCTTCGTATTTATCGATGTATGAGCCAACACTCATGTTGTTGTTAGGGGTGGGAATGATGTTGTTGTTATCATCAAATTTTATTTCATATTTTGTTATATCCAAGTCAAATCTGTTGCTAGAATTTCCATATTTCATCTCGTTTGAATAATCACCATTTTCTGAAGGTTCGGTGTTGTTGCTCTGTTGGCTTGTAGTGTTGTATTGGATGTAACCACTGCTTCCATAATTTCTGTTGCCATTGTAGTAGAAATTATCTTCCAGTTTTTGAGCTCTCCAAAGCAGGTAGTTTGCATTCTCGTAAGCCTGGTTGTTGGAGAGTTGAGGGGGAGGCACCATGTACAATAGGTCGATCCCAGGTACCAAAGGATTGTTGTTGTTGATGCGGCTGGTGTTGTTGTTGATAAGGCTGTTGTTGTTGTTGTTGTTGATAAGGCTGTTGTTGTTGTTGTTGATAAGGCTGTTGTTGTTGTTGTTGATGTAGCTGTTGTTGTTGTTGATGTGGCTGTTGTTGTTGTTAATGTGGCTGTTGTTGTTGTTGATGTTTTGAATGTTTTTGTTGATGTGGCTGTTGTTGTTGTTGATGTGGCTATTGTTGTTGTTGATGGGACTGTTGTTGTTGTGGCTGTTGTTGTTGTGGCTGTTGTTGTTGATGTTTTGAATGTTTTTGCTGAAGTCGTTTACGGTGTCTGCATTTTTTTTATATGAAATAATG